TCGTGTGACTGATTGCCAAGCTTTCATTAACGTCGTATCATATCGAGGAATATGATCCTTGTACTGGTCTTTAAAGGGGAACACCGTTTCATCAAAAATAGCAGAGAGGAATGGACAGGAGCTTGATGGTCACAACATCACTATGAACGAGACTCAATGTCATGAAAACGGTGGCAGTGAAGACCGTGGCAGAGGTGGTGGTGGATACCGCAGTGGAGGCGGTGGTTATAGAAGAGGCGGTGGTGAAAAATGTGAGTATGGATACACTGGTGGTGGATACATTGGTGATGGATACGGTGGTAGTTGATACAGTAGAGGTGGATATTCAAGAGAGGTGGTGGTGGATATTGTTGTTGTGGCAGAAAATGTGAGTGTGGATACGGTGGTGGTGGATAGATTAGTGGTGGATACAGTGGAGGTGGTGGTGGATACAGTGGTGGTAGATACGGTGGAGGTGGAAGACGAGAGGTTGGAAGATATGAAGGTGAAGGGTGTGGTGGTAGACCGTGGATACCGTAGTGGAAGTTACGGTGGTTACGGAGGAGGTGGTGAACGATATAACGGTAGATATAATAGTGGTGGAGGTTGGTTCCTTGAGAGGATGAGGTGGAAGACGTGAGAATGATGAATGTGGAGGTGGTTGATAATTAGATTTAGATTTGAGACTGTTATGTTGGTTTGAATTGTAAAAGTTTGTGATTTATATTCATATCTGGAAGTGTAATGTTCAATTTTTTTCTTATTTTTTAGTTAAAAATAAAATAAAATAAAATAAACTATCATTTTCTGTTTATCTAATGATAAGCAACTTGTTTTTCAAATGTCCCGGGCAGAATTGTAAAAAGCAACATCAAAAATCACAATTGTGCTCTTCTAGCACAATGTGTCTATGAATATTTAAAAAAAAAGGACAAATGTGTCTTACTATGTAAGTCACTCTTTATTGTTTATGCTTTTAGTTTTCCATAAGGTACTAACTCTAGACTTTGCCATTTTACCCTGGATCCAAAAACCGGAACTGAAACCGATTCAAAAATATCTGACCCGTAATCGAACCAAAAATTTAAAATACCTATTGGATCCGAAATTCTTTTACCTGAAAGAACCGGACCCGGACCCGGAAAAAATCAACCCATATATGCCTGGACCCAAAAAGAACCGACCCGGATAAATCGATCAATAATAACTTATTCATACCGGACTTAATAAGACGGATATCCAAAACTAGGATGTTTTTGTTTTCTATATTTCATTTTATGATTTTGTTGAAATATCTTTTTGTTAACAATCTTTATTAATATTTTCATAACATTTTCAAGTAATATGAATTTTGAAATGTAAAATGTAAAATTTAAAGTTTAAAAACGTTTTATTTTAGTTATTAATATTTTATTTTGAGTTATTTTATACAAATATAGATATATATGACAGGTTTGACTAAATTTACAAGTACCTTTGGGCATTTCATATCCTAAATATTCGAACCCGATCCGGACACAAAATAACCCGAATATTAAATTATTTTACATGTATTTCAATTAGATACATGAACTGATCCGGACCCGAGAAGAACCGATCTGAACTCGAACCAAAAATTTATAAGTACCTATTGGGTCTAAAACTTTAGACCCAAAAGATCTGGATCCAAAAGGAACCAACTTAAACCCGACCTGAATCCAACCCGAAGACCTGAACGCCCAAGCCCAACTGATACCATATTGTTAAGAGGATATTATTTTCTTCATTTCTAGTTTAGAGAAAGAAGATGGAGTCACTCTTTTGCTTTCAGAAGTTATTTCTAGGGTATCTCCACTTTTCTTTTTGTTTATGAATGTTTTTGTGACACTTTTTTCTGCATAAGTGGCAATGTAGGTGTTTCCTCAAGAAGTGGTCCCAAAAACATTCTTAACCATGATACACTTCTTTCGGAAGCGTCTACCATCGCATGGCCGGTCCTAGGTCAGCCGGATGAAGTATTGTCTTTATGTTTCCAATTTTTTTGAATAAAGTTATATAGACATATCTCTCCAGAATGTGTTTTTTTAGACCCTTAAATTTATGAAGAGAATTTTAGTTGGAAGTTTTATTAAATTGCTTATAGATCTTCTAAATTTTAGGGTCGATCTTGCGCTATCATGCCAGTTATGCAGTCATACAAATTGTCCTCATGTGAATATAAAAGACTAAGGTGTGTTTTCTCTACTATGAAAACACAAACATGGGAGATGGATAACGACTAAAAAGAAAGGCCCTTCGTTACATCATTTTGAAAGCTGATCGGTGTTTACATTGGTTGCCTAAGTATTCTCCTTAAGAAAACTTTATTGCGTAATGTGGGTTTGCTACTCTTATTGTTATTGATACCATAGGGTTTTGTATTGTGGCCGTGGTCTATGGTTCTTTCTAAGTCAAGCACAGTGGTTTCTGCTTGATGGAAGTTGCTCCTCCTTCCGGTTTTGGCATTCATCTTTTTTCCTCTTTCAGTTAATTTTTGTTTTGGACCGGCTTTAAACGTGTTGGTTTAAGATTTGAGAAATTGCACCGTATAGCGGTCAAACAAAATACAATTAAGAGACTAACCAATTGCCCTACCTTTTCCTTGTTCCCTTTGAAATATATGTAATATTTCTGTATTGCCCTTGGAAGCAACCAGAAAAACTTGCTAAATTAAAAATTAATAAAAAATATACCTTTGAGTAAAACAGGCATCATGGCTTTTGGAGAACCACACTCTTCAAGACATCAGCTTTTAATTGGTAAAAGATGAGAAAATTGAATAGTTTCACATCAGATCCTCTGCTCTTCTTTCCCCCTACTCCACTCCGGCGAGATTTGAGCCACCATCAAAGCGAACCGGAGATCCAATCGGCGACTGCAGTGAAATCAGCCCGGCAAAAATGTTTTCTGTTTTTCTGTGGCCATCTTTCTCTGATTCCGCGACATCCCCTGTAGAAAATAAAGTAATTTACCAACATGACAGTTGCGTCGGTTGGTTTCTAATCGGACGGCGATACCGTTTACCGGAGATTCAGTAACCTTCGGTAAGTTTGGGCTCTGCAATTGGGTTTAATAAATATAAAGTTGACTGTTTTACGTCTCCTTTCCCGACCAATTTTCAATTGTAAATATCTTGATCGTTGAGGGTCCACTTTTATTCTCCGTGTTCTAACGTGATTAAACATGAAATTATTCTATTTATCGGAAATTCTATTCAATCTTTCTATTCCATTTGTTGCATGTAGTCATTGTTATACGAACCAATAAAAATTGTTGTTCCGGCTATCTTACAGATATGTTTTACTATACTATATTTTGCATGTTACTATTCTATTTTACTTGGACATTTATGTTATAGGATTTAGTATTTAAGGATTGGAAAGGAGGAGGTTTTTTGGATTCTGAAATCGACTGTCCTAAGGAAGACGAAACCGAAGCGACGGCAAAATTAATGACGGTAGGCCAAATGAATCCGAATCGACATGTCTGAAAAAGAAGAAGAATTGAAGAAAATGGACTCGTCGTCTATACTATATTCGGTGAAAGAAATTTACCGTATAGGGTACCATACTATTTCAAACATAATTTTATTCTTTACTATTTTACATGTTTCAGTGTATATGTAATTTCATTTATACACAGTGTTCCAGATTATTACATTTATAACATTTATTTCTCAATTCGTTATCAACTTATATTATTCTGTTTTATTTATTATGTTCAATGTACTTTTAGTTTCATGTGTAGACAATTTCTAAAATTATGATGTTGTTTTCTATTAGAAGAATATAGAATAGAAATGTACCATAATTTCATCACCACCACTTTCTTTTCTTCCAAATTTTTGATTATTTGGAAAATTATTCTTACCAATTTAAATTCGCAAGTCTATTCTACAATTCCTAGTTATATAATATAGTCTAATATTACAAAATATTATGTGCTATTTTCACATTTTGCTATTTGGATTTTGGCTTTATATTTGTGTTAAGCTTTTGGGTTTAGTGATTGGGGTTTAGGGTTTATATTTGGGTTTAGAGTTTAGTGATATGGTTCTAGGGTTTATATTTGGGTTTAGGGTTAATAATTGGGTTTTAGGGTTTAGTGATAAAGGTTTAGGGTTTAGTATTTCGTATTTAGAAGGTAGGGGTTAAGATTGGGGTTAACATTAACTTCTTATATGCAATAGTTGACATTTCATACTTTGATCAATAATTACTATTCTATTTATTTTGTTCCATTCTATTTGGGATTGGGTTGATGTGCATATATGAGTTACATTTTACATAATACGTACATCTCCAACATATACCGGAATATATACTATTAATGTTTATTATTCTATTAATGTTTAGTAGTTTGAGTTTGTGGGTGTTTTTGAATTCTATACTATTTTAACGATATAGAATAAAATATTTGGTGTATTTGAAAGTGTGGTTATTATACATGTGACGTGGATGATTTATTTTTTTTTTAGAAGTCAACAAATCTTATAAATGGTGGCCATACTTTCTTTAGTCGACGTCATCTCTCTATCTCTTAAGTCACCGTAACTTATACAAATAAAGGGTAATACCGACACAATTGAAACACAATTGTTAGATAATACATTATGTCAAAATAAAAGCTATATACTTCATTTATTTCCTAAATTTGGCCATTTCTCAAAATTATCCCTTAAGATTTTGGCATTCATCTTTTGTATTTTTTTTTATGTTTATGTCAGCTGTCTTTATAATTTTAAAAACAGAAACCCAAAATATTTAATATGAAAGCTTTTTTAAAAAAACGCACTACCATCGGCCAGGGAGATAGAGACGGCCTAATTATAAATGTTTTTTCAAGGATTATTAAATTATTTAAAGAGTAAAATTTAATATATGTATATTGCACGAGGATATTTAACATAAGATATACATTTCTGCAAGATACTATATGTAGGTAGAACTAGGGAGAGAGAGGAAAGATTAGAGAACTAACAAGAGAGAGGAAAGATTAGAGAGATGGAAGAGAGGCTTGGAGGGCTAGGACACATGTTGACAACGGTGTTCCTGTCATCATTCGCCGGATTCTTGGTAAGGCCGGTCATGACTGACGTCACCGTCGCTGCGGTTTGCTCCGGCTTAAAGGGTTCATGCTCTCTTGCCATTTACCTTACCGGACTACACCAAGTGGTAATCACCTCTACTTGTATATTTTTTTATAAATATGCATATTGGTCGTTCACTATCATTATTTTCAATCTTCAATCTCTTCGTTTTTCTGGATAGTGATCCTTTAATGTTTTGTCAGAAGAATGCTTCAAAAACTCATGAACGTATTCAAATTTTATAAGAATTACAATAATAAAGAAATTAATTAATGTAACTTTTCTTATGACAATGGTGGAAATGGTAAAAAGACAGTAGGACTTGGGACAATGGTAATGATGCCGGTAATCGGGAATCTAGCCGACAGGTATGGAATCAAGGCATTGCTCACTCTTCCCATGTGCCTCTCTATAATTCCTCCAGGTTCCTTTTTTCTCTCTAAACCGAGCTAAACTTAAGCTTTGAATTATAATTTCAAACACTCATATAAATTTGTATGTACACAATTAATCCTAAGCTTTAAGCACGGGCTAACCGTCATTGGTTACTAACTTTGTTTCAGATTAAGTTTCGCTCGGGATAAAAAAACTTATTATAAAATAAATGTTTTTTAAAAAAGTTTATAAAATAAATTTTGTTTTATGCTTTTAGTGCAGTTTTTCATTTAATCATAACTAAACCAACATAATAAATATTATGAAAATTTAACAGTTAAACACAGTGTTGTACATTTAACTATTTTCTTCATTTCTACAGAAAGATTTTAAATGGTATAGTATACAATTTGAAATCGAGGAATTTTATAGGCATCAATAATATTGACTATACTCCTAAAATTAGCCTTAGAGCATTATTACTTTATTATTATAATAGCATATTTAAAATTTGGTAAATTATATTTTATACTTCTATTTTAATAAAATAGATTAATTAAAATAACGAATTACTTATATTAATTAGTTAGAATATAGAATTAGGTAAGTTTATGTTTGTTTTAAATGACAAAAAATAATTAGTTTTGAAATACAAAAGTAACTAATATCTTCTTTTTTCCGTCAACTTAAAGAAAACAGACTCATACGTTCATACCTTAATGACAAAATCTGTAATATAATACTTAAAAGAAAGATTAACAAATATTTACATAGTTATTATGGTAGAGACAGTTGATGAAGTAGTTAAGATGAATGAAAAAATGGTAAAAAACATTTAAATTTTGGTAAATTATATTTTGTACTTCTATTTTAATAGAATACTAGATTTTGATATGCGTTTTGTAAGCGCAGAAATATTCGATGATGAAAAAATTCACTAATAATTAACAAATATTTTGTTAATTTGAAAAAAAAAGTTGTGTATTTAAAATATTTTTGCGTTGTCTTGGTGTTTTTAAATTCGACATAACCCGATGTTTAACTGGTTAGTCTAGTGATCCGATAATTCAGTTTAGATTTTTTAAAATATCTACATTTAAAAAGTCACTAAACACCAAGACCAAGCGATTGAACCGATGAATAACTGATATGTAATATTTAAACATGTAAAATTAAGTTCTATTTATTTTTTGTTATTTTATAAATTATTTAATTTATCTAAATAACTTGAAAGAAAATTGATAGAAATTATTAAAAAAGATAAGAGCTAGAAAAGATTAATTATGATGTTATTTGAAAACATTGTAAGTAGTATAAAAAAAGACTATATTTTTGAAACATGGATGGTAATATAAATAAAGGAATACTAGTAATTTAATAAAGGTTTAACTATAAAGTAAGAAAGTGTATTAATCTAAAACTTACAAAATAAAATCTAGGTCCGACATAATGTTTCTGCTTTAATAAGATAGATTAGACTAATACCCTTAGTGAACGCAAATTATATTCTATTTTTGAAATTACCATCTCAATTTAAATGTGCTCTAATATGTGTTTGTAATCGGAATAAATGACATACAATTTTAGCTCAAAGAGTCAATACAAATAAATTTTTACATGTAAAAATATTAAATGACATAACACACCTTTTGTAACAAATTTTAGTTCACTCAGTCCAGTAAACAAAATTTATATCATTAGTTTCAAAACTGTGGAACTTAATTGGATGTCGCCATCCTATTTTGATTGGTTTAAGATCTTATAGAAATATGATTAATTAGAAGGAATATATAGAAAAATTTGTGCAGTTTAAAGAACATTTAAAGTGATAATAAAAATGTTCTATGAAACAAATAATAATTAGTTTTATGTGTTTACTTTTCAATATATAATAACTTACTTAATGCATAGAGCTCAGCTGTATCTAAACTAATATGGCATATTGGTGTGGTAGTAAATATATTTATGAGAAGTTAAAAAGTAAGACACGGTAATTAATGTTGAGTTGCTGATTTAATACGAAGTATAATTCTTGATATATAATAAATCTGTAGGAAAGGAATAAATCTGGATGGCATAACTCGTAATAAAAATGTTTATTTTTATTTGGATTTTGTATTAATAGAATAAACAACTTAAAGAAGGAAGAACGTAATCTAATATTAACAGTCTAGTAGGTATATTGAAATGGTCCAAATGACTCTTGCATAGTAGATTTTTTTAGGACTCTATTTTAATAGAATAGATATAGATATAAATTAATTAAAATAACAAATTAGTTATATTAATTAGTTAGAATAAAATACAAAACAAAATACTGAGCAGTTGGAGTATTAATTAGTTAGAATATAGAATTATATAAGTTTTATGTTTGTTTTAAATGACCAAAAATAATTAATGTTGAAATATAAAATTAATTAATATCTTAATGAGAAAATCTGTAATGCAACAATTAGAAAACAAAATAATAAATATTTACATAATTATTTTAGTAAAAGCAATTTATGAAATAGTTAGAATGAGTGAAAAAAGAAATAAATATTGTAATAACACATTTAATTATAAGTTATATTTTGTATTTCTGTTTTAATAGAGTAGATACAACAATAAACAAAAAATGAGATTCGCTCATTGTGGACATCTATTCACACGATTAGACAAGTATACTTAACTTTAAAAATGGAGATCTTTAGAGCACTTCCATTGGTTCGACACAGGGTTCTAATTCATAATTTAATAATTAATTTGTGATTTGACACCATTAAGCACGTCTATTTTGTTTTGCCAACCACTCAACCATTGTCTGATTCGTAGCTCTTTATACAAAAGATTAAAAACAACAAAATCGTCTGATTTGCTTACATTTTCCTATTTTTTTAATTTCTGTAAAGTACATGCTATTTTGTCCGGTTTTGAAATCAAATAGAAGGACAAAACTCGTGAAAATCGGCTAACAAATACATATATATATATATATATATATATATAGTTAAAGAAGAAAAATATGTATATAACTGACTAAATGACATGAGATGTGAGATATATATATATATATATATATATATATATAGATATATATATATTGGAAAAAAAAACATTTGCTAAATTAAATCTTTTGTTCCTCTTTTGATTTTGTTTACACATGTTCCTAAAATGTAGTAACATTTTGCAGCAATATTAGGGTATAGAAGGGATACGTTATTTTTTTACGCATATTATGTGATCAAGATTCTATTCGATATGGTCTGCCAAGGCACCGTTGACTGTCTCGCTCATGCTTACGTGGTATATATTTTTTTTCCACTATGATCTTATTATATGGTATTTTTGTCTCATTAATTTCTTTGCAGGCAAAAAATATTTATGGCACACAAAGAATATCAATGTTTGGAGTTTTAGCAGCTGTCAAATCAGTTTCCGCAGTTTGTGCAACATTCGCAGCTCGTTTTCTACCCACAGCTTCGACTTTTCAGGTATCGAATAAATGTATTAAAAATGAAATATCGAAAGAGAGACAGCCTCGAACACTAATTCATCAATCTTATAGACTCATTAATATTTGTTTAGGTCACCGCTTTATCATTGTTCGTTGGCCTGGTGTACATGAGAATTTTCCTAAAAGAGAGGTTACACGATGATGATGAAGATGACTATGATGGTGGTGGTGATGAAAGGATGTTAGCAGAGCCAATTCTAAAAAATGCACCAACTAAGACACATGTCTTCCACAATAAGTATTCTTCTTTGAAAGATATGCTCGCCTTGATGAAGAATAGGTACATTATATATAGTGTATGCATGGTGGCATCTATATACATATATATAATCCTAAATCATTTATATGAATTCTTATAACACAGCACCATACTCGTTCAAGCATTGGTCGTTACATTTTTTGTTACCTTCTCACAAAGTGGAATGGAGTCAGCTTTCTTGGTTCTCATCTCCACACTCTTACATTAGAAATCCATTAACTTATGTTAAACTTATTTTGTTTCTAATTTTATAAACTCTTTTTAATACAGTATTTTTTGAAAGCCCGTTTTGGGTTTAAGAAAAATGACTTTGCTCAACTCTCCCTATTGGTTTGGATCATTGGCTCCATATCCCAGGTAATAACGTGAACTATCGTAAAAGATCGTTAATAATCTGAATAAAAGTTATTCACCGATATGTGCTGCTGAAATTTGTTTTGTTAGCTGTTTTTATTGCGGATATTGGTTTCTGCCATTGGAGAACGTAGGGTTTTATCAACAGGACTTCTTATGGATTTCTTCAACGTAAACATTCTAGAACTTATTTCATCTTCATTTAATCTCCAATCATGAGATAAATCTATAAATAAATTAGCTAATGAATTTCGTTAATGTGTTTTTCGCGCAGGCATTAATTCTCAGTGTTTCATGGTCACCATGGGTGAGTCTGTTTAAACTAGGACCTTGTCAGAGGAGTTGCTCAATATATGCGCTTTATGCGCATATATAAGTATATAACCCTTTACAATATTAACAAATTTATCTATTATTAAAACTTATTTTTAAAAAATATATGCATATAAAAACAGCATACAAATATCAAAGTCAGTCCTTCTGAATATTATTGAGCTGGCAGTTTGAAAATTCTTTCTAAGTTGTTTATCTGACGGTTTGGTTTTGCTTTTGTTTTTGTTTTTGTGAACAATGTAGGTTCCTTATGCCGCCACAGCCCTTGTACCCGGAGTGATGTTTGTAATGCCATCTGTAAGATTTTCCAGCTTTAACATCGATGCTCTTTATTATAGTTCACTTAAATCTCTATACTATTATTTGAGAAGTCACTTTCTTATGTGTCGCGCTCACGTTAACTTTCACGATGGTTGATTACTATGATACCCCTAATGAATTAAAAAAAATACATTTAAATATAATTATTTCCTTTTCAAAATTTTCTAAATAACAATATAAAATAAAAAGGAAACATTTATAAAGTTTACAAAACTATTTAAAAGGAAAATATAAGTATATAGAAATATGGTTTCATAAAAAAAGAAAGTTCACAAAATAGTAATATTTAATTTAAATGTATTTTAAATAACATAAAATATACTTTTGAAGTAATAAAATACTTCATATTTATATATTCTTAGATGAAAAACAATATTTGTATATAATGTGATTCCATAAAAAAATATCACACAACTAATCTTGATATTAGAAAAAGAAATATTTTTTTTTCTTTAAAAAAATAATTTTAACAATAATATATATATATATATATATTCAAAGTAATTATCTTTTGGTATATATCTATCTATTTTATTAGATGATTAAATAAAATAATTAAGTAACATAAACTGATATATGTTTAATTGATTTTTTTTTATAATTTGCATTCTTGAAATATATATATATTTTTCATTATTTAGTATATTTATTTGACTATAATATCTCACAATACAACAAAACATATAAATTCTATTTTACTTTTATAATATAATTTCTCAAAAACAATAACCTTTTTACTGCATATTTTAACAGATATTAAAAAAACTAAAAAAAAAATTTAATAATAAACAATTTTTGATTAAATAACTACAATTATTTTAAAATATCATAACACTATATAATTTAACGAAGTAGATATAATATATTTTAATTGTTAAAATTATATGTTTTCTTAATAACTCTTTTGATTTTTAATTTTCTGTTATGTTTGTGGAACTTAATATAACTATAATCAAAATACTTAAGCAAATTCGAATCCTTATTTTTAAAATAAATTTCAGTTTTTCATTCAATCAATCTAAATATTGTAAATATTGATATGTATTCATAAGCTTCCAAAAATTTATTAGTTACTTATGTATGTGATTTAGAATCGGACAGTTTAGTTTTTATTTTTTTTCTTTCTAATCACAAAAAATCTTAAGTTATACATAATCTTACTAGATATACTTATATTTTTAAGATAACAACCGGCATAAATGCAAATAAGACAATTAATCAAAAATTTAATATATTTAGGATAAAAAAAGATTATAGTTGAATTCAAAGAAATAAATAGAATCTAATATATCCAAAGGATAATTAAATCAACTGTAAAAATAATAAAACTGACAAAATATAACATATCTAAAATTATATATAATTAAACTAATATAATATTCTTAATAAAAATTTTACCTACAAATTATAAATAAATTTAAAATTTAAAGTAAATATCAACAAATTATTATAATATATTTATTTTATAAATATTTATGTCCGTGCATGAGCACAGAAAAATCACCTAGGGAAAAGTAGTTATACTTCAATTTTAATTTAAAATTTTATTTATCTCAATATACTCACAAGACGAATGACTCGACTAATATAATTTATATCCAAAATTAAATATCTAACTACAATAAGAGCATATATTTTTATAATAATAAGAATAAGAATAATAATAATAATAATAATAATAATAATAATAATAATCTATTTAATTTTATACATAACAGTATATGTTGATTTTTACTTTTTTCATAATAACATATATAACTTAAAGGAAATATTTCTAAAATTTTAAAACAGATTTAAAAACCAAAAAATATGTATATAATATGACTTTATTAAAAAGGAAAGTTCACAAAATAGTAATATACCCCATTAATATATATTTTTAAATAACATATAATATACTTTCAAAATAATAAAATATATATGTTCATGAACATCCAAAATTTATCAGTTACACTTTATTTTCTAATATTTTTTTAGAAATCAACGTATAATTTGATAAATATTATGAAAATATTTGTATATTTAAGCGATAAATAAAACTAATTGGATTGACTTAATTAAAATAAAGAATAAATAAATATTATGAACTTACATGTATATTTAAGCGATAAATATAACTAACTTGATTGGACTTAACTAAAATAAAAAGTAATTATACTTCAATTTTACTCAATATACTCACAACATGAATGACTCAACTAATCTAATTTATATCCAAAATTAAACATCTAACTACAATAAGAACATATAATTATATAGTAATAATAATTTATTTAATTTTATACATATAAATTAGAGGTTGACTCAAAGCATATTAAAAAGAAAAAGAAAATATTAACCATTTACAATTTATTCTTTTGTAGAATTTATATATATGCATGAGACTTCAAAATATTATCATTATATTCATTTATGTAATTTTGAATCAAACACTTCAGCTTATTATATATATATATTAAGTTATATATAATTTAACTATGATATATTTACATATCTAAGATAATAACCAACCGAAATGAAAATAAAAAAATTAATCAAAGTTTTATTATATGTACAAGAAAAAATATTATAACTGAATTCGAAAAATAAATATTATCCAATATACCATATTGATAACCAAACCGACTATTGATCCAAAAATTAATTAAACCGACAATAATATATCCAAAGTCATATGTATAATTAGAATAATATAATATTTATTAATAGAATTATACATATAAATTTATTCAAAACTAAAACTAAATATCAATCAATTATTATAAAATTTTCCTTTTATGAATATTCATACCCGTGCATGAGCACGGGAAAATCACCTAGTATAACTTGAATATGGTTGCAGATTTATGGTATTGCTTCAAGACAAGTTGGGTCCGGTGAACAGGTAAGACCGCAAAAGTTATTTCTTTTTCATACACTTTAATATTTAATACCAAGGCTTGCACATAACAATTGTAATTAAGTCTCGGATGATATAATTTTTCACTACTAAAAATATTTGCTATAACTACGGTATAGCCGTATAGCAACGGAAATGTTTCGGCTATATAGCAAAAAATGGTAGCTACAATAATCACGTTTCTCGAACAAAAAAAAGAGAGAATTAGGGAAATGTCCAAAATGGAGGCCCTAATTAGAGAAATGCCCGTGATGGAACATAATAACAAGATTTCATATAATTATGTTTTCGTTGAACGATAAA